TTGGGAGATGCACCGTGCTACTTGCAAGTTAGAAGCTTACCTTATACCTTAGATGTGGTCTCATCTGTTTAAAGGGTCATGCCCCATCTGATCTTCACCCTCCCAATGGGTATACCCTTCAAAGATCCACCCACCTGCGTGATTGACAGCTGGCTCTGCCTACCTAGAGGCAGAGCCAGCTGTACCTGCCCCCTCCACCGACCGTTCCGCCAGTCAGCGCTGGAGGATTGGAGAGGGGAAGGGGGAATCCCTGCAGGGAACCTTGAGTGACAGTCACGGCTCTCTGCAGGGACATAATCGAGAAGTGAGCGAGCAACGGCATGTGTTCGCTCACTTTCCAATCTATTGAGCCGACGTGTGACAGTTTAATTGTCACACGTTGGCTCGAACTATGAAGTTAAGTGAAAATCACTCACCTCATAGTTCTCCTTTAAGCACATTACAGGCTGGCCCTGCATCTTCCTTCCAGCAGGGTCCAGGTATGGTTCGTCAAAGCTCAACTGAGAGCAGAAAGAAAGCATGCATCACCTAAGGAAACTAGCAAAAAACTAAGGGTGGCTGGAAGTGAGAGGGGTTATGCAGGGCTATTCTTACCTAATTCTCTACCACCTAATGGTAGCTGCATAACCCATTGGTTCTGCATTAAAGCCCTGTGATATACGAACAAAAAACTATATTTTGAGGTCCATCAAGTTCAACCTTTGTGTGTCTGATTGTGCAAAGGTGTCTCCACTGAAGCTTTATCACCAATCTCACTTCCTGTCCTTGAGACAATAGGAAGTGAAAGGAAATCTACACCTAGGAAGGGAAATTCACTCCTGTAAGAGTGATCATGGGAAAAAGGTGTCTCCACTGAAGTTTTATCACCAATCCTTGTTTCCACGACAACCCAAAATGTTCAGAATCCAATTGTCACAGGGACAGAAAGTGAGGTGAAATCTTCTGAACAGGCGCATACTCAGCAGAACAAACTTCACATGGGGTAAACCCTTCCCTGTGCTATCCAAAACAAACAAAAAATGTTTTTGGCTGGAGTTGCACTTAAAAAAATGTACCTGTTCCAACTTACATACAAATTCAACTTAAGACCAAACCTACAGAACCGGGGACTGCCTGTAGTCAAAGTTACTTATTTTTTTACCAAGAAAGACCATATTTCACTAGTAAAGCTTCAAAACCCATTTTCAATTTTCAGTTATGGGCTTAACCACTTTTTTTTTATACTTTTGATACAAAATTGAGGCAATTTTTTTTAGGACAAACATGTCTTTTGGTGCTTTTGCCTCTAAAAAGTTATTTAACCTTTAAAAAAAAGGAAAAAAAAGAAAAATATTTTTTTTTTGCATGTTGACCAGTCATAGTTAAAAAAAATATAGTGTTAGGGAAATGTCACACATGTAGTTATCCTGTTGCTGACAACATCTGCCATTGGAGCAGAAGGGTGCTCAATTAGCAGCAAGTCACCATTGACAGAATTGCTAATGTGACATAGCCCTTACTATAGTTATGTTACTATAGTTATGTGGTACTACGTTTATTTTTTAGTTTGTCCCAAAAAGCATACAAAGCATGGTAAAGTTTTTTGCAAAACAATGTGTTTTTGCATACTTGTTTTTTACTGCTTATACTGCAAAATGCAAGTTAAGATGAAAAATGAAACCTTGATTCTGAGCTCTCCTTTCAGCCCCACATCCAATCACTATCCAAATCTTGCCGACTCAGCCGCCATACCATTTCTAAAATGTGTCCCTTTCGCCTCTTTCTGCCAAACCCTCCACTGGCTCCCAATTGCCCAATGAATAAAACTCAAAATACTAACAGCTACATACAAAGTCATCTACAACTCTGCCCCAACCTACATCACCCAACCACCACTTTTGTCACCTCCTCCCAAGCTCGCCTCCAGGACTTCTACAGAGTGTCTCCTATTCTCTGGAACTCCCTACCCCAATCTGTCTGCTTACCTCCTACTCTGTCCACCTTTAGGCGAACGTTGAAAACTCATCTCTTCATGGAAGCCTATCCCAACTCAAAATGACTATCCTTTTACTTCTTCCACTGACTCAATCTAAACAATCACCACCTTTTCTATCACTTGCTCCCCCTACTAGATTGTAAGCTCTCCTAACCCATTTTCTAAAGCACTGCGCAAACTGTTGGCGCTATATAAATCCTGTATAATAATAATAATAAAAAACTAATTTGCTGAAAACAATTAGCAAAACAAGCGATCAAAATAGTGCTTGCAGCATGTGCCTTGCGATCCCTTGAGGATGATCGCATTGCTGAAGCTTACCTTATACCTTAGATGTGGTCTCATCTGTTTAAAGGGTCATGCCCCATCTGATCTTCACCCTCCCAATGGGTATACCCTTCAAAGATCCACCCACCTGCGTGATTGACAGCTGGCTCTGCCTACCTAGAGGCAGAGCCAGCTGTACCTGCCCCCTCCACCGACCGTTCCGCCAGTCAGCGCTGGAGGATTGGAGAGGGGAAGGGGGAATCCCTGCAGGGAACCTTGAGTGACAGTCACGGCTCTCTGCAGGGACATAATCGAGAAGTGAGCGAGCAACGGCATGTGTTCGCTCACTTTCCAATCTATTGAGCCGACGTGTGACAGTTTAATTGTCACACGTTGGCTCGAACTATGAAGTTAAGTGAAAATCACTCACCTCATAGTTCTCCTTTAAGCACATTACAGGCTGGCCCTGCATCTTCCTTCCAGCAGGGTCCAGGTATGGTTCGTCAAAGCTCAACTGAGAGCAGAAAGAAAGCATGCATCACCTAAGGAAACTAGCAAAAAACTAAGGGTGGCTGGAAGTGAGAGGGGTTATGCAGGGCTATTCTTACCTAATTCTCTACCACCTAATGGTAGCTGCATAACCCATTGGTTCTGCATTAAAGCCCTGTGATATACGAACAAAAAACTATATTTTGAGGTCCATCAAGTTCAACCTTTGTGTGTCTGATTGTGCAAAGGTGTCTCCACTGAAGCTTTATCACCAATCTCACTTCCTGTCCTTGAGACAATAGGAAGTGAAAGGAAATCTACACCTAGGAAGGGAAATTCACTCCTGTAAGAGTGATCATGGGAAAAAGGTGTCTCCACTGAAGTTTTATCACCAATCCTTGTTTCCACGACAACCCAAAATGTTCAGAATCCAATTGTCACAGGGACAGAAAGTGAGGTGAAATCTTCTGAACAGGCGCATACTCAGCAGAACAAACTTCACATGGGGTAAACCCTTCCCTGTGCTATCCAAAACAAACAAAAAATGTTTTTGGCTGGAGTTGCACTTAAAAAAATGTACCTGTTCCAACTTACATACAAATTCAACTTAAGACCAAACCTACAGAACCGGGGACTGCCTGTAGTCAAAGTTACTTATTTTTTTACCAAGAAAGACCATATTTCACTAGTAAAGCTTCAAAACCCATTTTCAATTTTCAGTTATGGGCTTAACCACTTTTTTTTTATACTTTTGATACAAAATTGAGGCAATTTTTTTTAGGACAAACATGTCTTTTGGTGCTTTTGCCTCTAAAAAGTTATTTAACCTTTAAAAAAAAGGAAAAAAAAGAAAAATATTTTTTTTTTGCATGTTGACCAGTCATAGTTAAAAAAAATATAGTGTTAGGGAAATGTCACACATGTAGTTATCCTGTTGCTGACAACATCTGCCATTGGAGCAGAAGGGTGCTCAATTAGCAGCAAGTCACCATTGACAGAATTGCTAATGTGACATAGCCCTTACTATAGTTATGTTACTATAGTTATGTGGTACTACGTTTATTTTTTAGTTTGTCCCAAAAAGCATACAAAGCATGGTAAAGTTTTTTGCAAAACAATGTGTTTTTGCATACTTGTTTTTTACTGCTTATACTGCAAAATGCAAGTTAAGATGAAAAATGAAACCTTGATTCTGAGCTCTCCTTTCAGCCCCACATCCAATCACTATCCAAATCTTGCCGACTCAGCCGCCATACCATTTCTAAAATGTGTCCCTTTCGCCTCTTTCTGCCAAACCCTCCACTGGCTCCCAATTGCCCAATGAATAAAACTCAAAATACTAACAGCTACATACAAAGTCATCTACAACTCTGCCCCAACCTACATCACCCAACCACCACTTTTGTCACCTCCTCCCAAGCTCGCCTCCAGGACTTCTACAGAGTGTCTCCTATTCTCTGGAACTCCCTACCCCAATCTGTCTGCTTACCTCCTACTCTGTCCACCTTTAGGCGAACGTTGAAAACTCATCTCTTCATGGAAGCCTATCCCAACTCAAAATGACTATCCTTTTACTTCTTCCACTGACTCAATCTAAACAATCACCACCTTTTCTATCACTTGCTCCCCCTACTAGATTGTAAGCTCTCCTAACCCATTTTCTAAAGCACTGCGCAAACTGTTGGCGCTATATAAATCCTGTATAATAATAATAATAAAAAACTAATTTGCTGAAAACAATTAGCAAAACAAGCGATCAAAATAGTGCTTGCAGCATGTGCCTTGCGATCCCTTGAGGATGATCGCATTGCGGCTGGAGCCATTCACTTCAATGGGCCGCCACACCCCCTCCTGTCCCACAAAAAAGTGAGCCGGCTGCAATGCGATGCAGTGCGTTCTGGCCAGAATCGGAACGCACTGCATCTGGTGTGAACACACTCTAAGGTTTGCTTTATTAGCCCCTGTGTAAAAAATCAGATACACTGTAATTAGCTGTCCCTGGCAAACTGTTTCTTTTACAATGTATCAGTTTTTGTTCACATTTTAACAGGCAGCTATCAGACAGATTGGCACCTATAAGGACATGTGCCCAGTGGGGAAGGACTCTAGGATGTACAAATTACAAGGTGTGTCCTAGGTTTAGAATCCCATCTGAAATTGCTCATCTTTCTCTGTAAAGGGCTGAAAAATATGTCAACACTACAAAAAGTAAAATATAATACAATAAATTGCTTTTACATAATTCAATCTTACTAGCAAAACAACTTACCTTGAAAAGTTAAGAAAGTGAACATGTCGGGTAAATAAATATGGTTGCTCAGCAGTACTAATGTTCTTTATCACCTCCATCTAGAAATAGAGCAGAAGGATTTTATGCAGTCAAAATATGTAAAACTACAATACACCTAACACCCAGGTTTGTCTGTACTTTGATATGCTAGTTGAACTCTGCTCCTATCAGAAATCTTATCTTTCTGGCAAAACTGATACCGTAAAGGGGCTGGACATATTTCTTTTTTTTTATATAATCCTTATTCATTTTAAATAATTTTAAAACATACAATTTAAAACATTAAATTTCAACATTATTCTTCTCCATTATTAAGGGAGCAATACACAAATGATTACATCTTAAAAACACCATAAGTACCAATTTTAAAAGGTTTCAATTTTCTAGATACCTTCTTCGCTTATGACCTTACAACCCCATTCATCTGTCTCCTCACACCTTCCCAAACACACACACAAAAAACCCTACCCTTATTAAGTTTCCTCTCTCTCCCCCATTACCACATACCTTCCCTAATTTACATCTTAATCCTCAGACCCTTACATCTTAATCCTCAGACCCTAACTTCTATCTAGTAATGTCATTTCGAAGTCCACTGAGATGTAATTTTGTATCCAAGGGTCCCAAGTTTTCTTGAATCTAGAGATTGTGTCATTTAAAATTGCAGAAAGTTTTTTTATTTATCATATACCACCCTATCTTGCTCCTTACTTGATGTATAGAGGGTGTGCTTGAGCTCCAAGCCTTTGCCAATGTCTGTTTTGCTGCTGATAATATGAAAGTCACTAATTTAAACTGCATGTTGGTCTTAAATTAAGCAAAGCCTCCCATGGGTTACATCTTATTCGCTTTCCTAATACTTTACTAATCAATCATTTCGATAGATACCTATCCAGAACCCCTTGATTTTGGGACAGCTCCACCATATAACATTGAACCCGCCTCATCGCACCCCCTAAAATACTTTGGGGAGGTTCCCTCTGAAACTTTAGCTTTTTAAAGGGGGACCAGGTACCAGCAAAATAGAATTTTATAACTGGCCTCTACTGCTGTTGCATTGATGGAACAATGTGAAATGGTGTCCCAGATCCGTGCCTAATCTTTTGGTTCCAGTCGCCTATCTAGATCCTGTTCCCGTAGGAGCGCATATCTAGGTAAGCATAGATAGTGGATAAACTGCCCCACCCCACCCCAGAGGATTTCTCACACACTTCTGTTAATCATTAGTTGGGGGTGTAAAAGATTTAACTAACATTGATTGTATAAAACTCCTAATTTGCAAATACTCAAAAACTCTAGAGTGGTGTATCTCATACATAGCCTGAATTCTGCTAAATGACAATCTCTGATTGATACAGAAAATCCTTAATTCTATAGAGACCGACCTCTGTCTAGATTTGAAACCAATTGGTTCTTCAAACGCAGGAGGAAAGGAGGGATTTTTGATAATAGTTGCCAAAGGCACACATCTAGAGGCTGAATTCCTCAAATATCTAACCCCATCCCAAATCTTAAAAGAATTTGCCTAATTATTGGATTGATAATACTGTATGCATACAGTACATTGAGAAGGCAGGCTCCAAAGCAGGGTCTCTATACCTATAGGGTTAACTTCTTCTGCCTCTATATTTACCCACAAAGGGGCAACTGGACACGTAAAATAGGAAATCTGTGATGCAATTTCCGCCTGGAAGTAAGACATTAAATGTGGAACTCCAAGACCCCCTTTACTCCTGGGTTGAACTGGGTTTTTCCCTTCCCATATACAATGTTGGAAAATCTGCTGAATAGACTTTATCACGTATAATGGAATATTTATTAACATTTATTGGGAAAAAATATAGTAACTTGTGTAGCAGAATAATTTTTACTTCCGTTATTCTGCCCAACCAAGATATCTGATACTTCTTCCAGGATTCCATCATCTGTTTGACCTGGCTTATGACTACAGTTTGCTTGATACAATACATTATACTCAGCTATCAAGTGCACACCTAGGTGACCAATATTATGAGATTCTCAAGTAAAGGGATACTGGGCCTTAAATCTTTGCATAATTTCATGCTTTATAGCTATACCAAGTGATTTGGATTTAGAGTTATTAATTTGCAACCCAGAAACTTTCTCGTAGCTAGAAAGCTTCAGTAAATTCGTAAGTGAAATAATTAGATTAGTCACAAAAAAAAAAGGTATCGTCTGCAAAATAGGAGATACTTTATGTTCATAACCTCCTATCTTTAAACCATTAATATTGGGATTCCTCCATGTAGCTATGGCCAAAGTTTCACTCACTAGTGAAAATAATAGAGGAGACAGTGGGCAACACTGATGTGTCCCACTTTGCAACGGGAACCTCCCTGAACGATATCCAGAATACTGTATGCATGCGTCTGGATTGCTATAAAGTTCCTTGACCCATTTAATAAAATTTGGTCCAAATCCCCATTTCTGAAGTATATAGAAAATATATGGCCATTGTACTGTATCGACAGCTGATGTCTAAAGATAACAAATAACGGGGTATTTGTCTATGCTTTGCTAGATACATTGAATGCAGCAATCGTCTAACCCCATCCGTCGCTTGTCTCTTCATAAACCCTACTTGGTCTCTACCAATAAGGACTTAAATGCCCGTATTAAGTCTATATGCTAACATTTTTGCCAGTATTTTTACATCCTGATTAAGAGGAGATATTGGCCTATAGTTAGACCAATTAGTCTCATTCTTATTCTGCTTCTGTATCATAGTAACTCTCACTGTAGTAACTGATTAAATAGCTCCGTCAAATATGGCGGAAGAATATGCATAAACTTTTTGTAATACAAAGCAGTGAGACCATCAGGTCCTGGCCGTTTCCCTACCCTACAATTTCTTTTTGCAGCCTCTACCTCAGAGTGCATTATAGGACCCTCTAATATTGTATATAGAGATTCTTGTAAACCAGGTAGGGCTAGGTCTGCGAAAAAAGCTTCGATCCAGCCAGAATCCACAGTTTGTGGAGCACTCGCAAGTTGCCGCATATGTTTATGAAATTCCTAAGCCCAGGCCTATCCTTGCCTGGGCTTAATCCCTCAGTTGAGGAGTAGGGTTATCCTTATATTGAGAGAATAGAGTAGCATATTTCTCCTCCGGCTGTTTCTGATGCTCTTGCCTTTTCCTAATAGATGATATATGTATAAAAATGCCTCGGATGACTTGTTTATGGACATTCCAAGGTGTTGCAGATGATACTACCGAGGATTCATTGATTGTAAAATACTCTTTAAGTGCCTTTTGCACCTTATCTACCATCTCTGGGTCACTAAGTAAAGCATTATTCAATGACCAAAAAAATATACCCTGACTGAGGTTCAAGGCCTTAATTAATACACATACCGCATCATGATCTGACCAGGGTATTGGTAATATATCTGCTTTCACAATCTAGGGAAGCATAGTGTTTGGTACAAATATATGGTCAATCCTGGATAAAGTACCATATGGGCAAGAAACGTACGTATAATCCCTCTTGGAGGGGTTTAACTCCCTCCAGGTGTCTGCCAATGAATATTGAGAAAGGTGATCCCGCAAAATCTTTAATGAAGAATTAGAAGCTTCATGCAGCCTCCCCAACCCAGAACTCCTCTTATTCAGAGTTGGGTAAAGAACCGTATTCGAGTCGCCACATACAAAAAGAGCCCCTTAAGAATGCTAAAATAAATAATACGTTTCAATAAATGGACCTTGTTTAACATTTGGGGCGCAATATACCATAATTGTTATCCGAGTTTCCCCCAGCATTCCCCTAAGAAGTAAATAACGCCCCTCTGGATCTGCCAGTTACAGATGGCATGAAAATACACAGGTTTTCCTCAATCCAACCAAAATTCCCCTTTGTTTCGTACTGGCATTTGCCCAAAAAATGTGTGGTTATGTCTTAGGACATGACATTTTGGAAAAGTGTGTTCGCTGAAAGCAAATAATATCTGCATGGACCGATCTAAAAAAACGAAAGGCTTTGTTTCTCTCTTTTTCGGGGAATTAAATCCCTCAACATTAGACGTTTAAAGTTTCATATATTCTATAGTCAAGAAACTCTTTTAGGTCCTATAGTTTATTGCCTCCACCCAGGGGAAAGGGCGGAAAAGGAAAGAAGAGAAGAAAACGTAAAGTCCAAAACAATCCCATGAATAATAATTAAAAAAAAAACCCCAGAAAAACCCTTCGTTCCATCCTACACAATACCTGTCTGCCACTAATCCTGCAGCAGATGCTCCATCCATTCCCTCCTCGAAATTCCATAGGCCAGGTGGAAAATACTTTTTACACTGTCTATGTGTATGCCAACCTCAGGTGTAATGTTGGTCAAAGAGGGATCACAGTGTTTCCCGCAGCCACAAGCAAAAGCTCCCTTTACGTTCATGCAAGCTCCCCTTCGACAAGTCTCCAAGACAAAAAAAGAAGGCGGGTGGGGGGTGGGGGTTGGTTATCTATATATTTATAACAATCATTTTCGGTGACAATAACTTATTCCTGATAACCCTTACAATTGCCTTTTTTATATAACATCTTACCACTCCCTTTAATGATTCAAACCCCTTCAAATATTTCTTACAGGTGCATAAGACCTAGACTCGTGGTTGAATATTGCTTAATGATCTATTTAGAAACAGATAATTGACACATAATTGGGTTAATCCCCCCCCCCCCCCAAAAAAAAGGATGGGGTGTATTTATATATTTATACCAATCCATTTTGGTGATAATTACTCTTACCCAATAACCCTTACATTTACCTTATTCACATAACACTTTACCCCACTCTTTAATAATTCACACCTCTTCAAATTTTTGTTACAAGTATATCATGTGACGATAATGGGGTTTGAGTCTGAGCCCCAGCCCTAGTGAAATTCCAAAATATCTCTCTAAGCCTTTTATGGTCGTCCCTAATTAAAGGCATGGCACCAAGCACTCATATATTACGAGTGGACAAGTTAAAATAAACAAGCAGGTTCTAGATAGGTGAGCCCACTTTCACCCAAAAGTCATAACCCTAAGTATAAAATTAAGCTACAT